GGTAACTTGCTAACTAGTTTGTGAAATGCATTGTCGGAAAGCTAATAAACAATGACCACATTATGATTCTATGCTGGTTAGGAGCGGCTCCATGCTGGATCCATCTTTGTTAAGCACCAAGATGGCCGTCATGGGCATTACTGAATGACAGCCTAGCTTCCATTATCTGTTCATTTTACAACTTACGCACAAAATAACAGAGGCTCAAAAAATGTTTTGGGCCATCTGGTGTGAAAATTTGTACAGTATGTACATTCATGTGTTTCAAAGAGGCTGTAATTATTCAACTAATGCAATAAAATTCTAATAAAAATATCAATGTTAGACATTGCAAAGAAAACACCAAGTGGTCAAATGATTATTTCCAAAGATGTAAGAAGTTTATCTGAATTTTTTTCTCCTGAAAAATTTATATTGGCTCCAAAAATCAAGTATTTTCCAGGCTCCAGCATAAAATACAACAATGAACAAATGTGCTATTTAAAACTTTATTTTCTTTATTTTCACTTTTTATTAGGTGCATTAACTGGAGCTAGATCTAAAATACAGTAGATTTACCTGTGATTTAGAGGACGCAACAGAAAAATGTTCAAATAACTTACAGACAGCGCCTTTAATTTTTTTAAAAAAAGTGCTCATGTGTCCATTTTCTAAGCAACTCTTTGTGCCAACATTATTTTGCCAATAATTAAACTCATTAAATTGTGGGGTTTTTTTTCAACTCCTGCCTTGGATTCAGCCTCATTATGCTGATGATTCACACTCCCACATGCAGTCTAGTCATTCATACCATTCCGTGGGTTAGGACCCCCTGTATTATTGTGCGAATACATGTGCACAACCGACTAGTCTAGCCTCTGGTGAATACAAAAATACGCTGTGTTATATAAGGCCAGCATTTTTGAAACACACACAGACTCCATCCTGAGTCAGATGACTGAGTGCTGCTGCTGCTGCTGCTCTATAGCTCTGGATATGTGTGTGTGGTGGTGTGTATTATGAGAAAATAGAACAGCTGAGAGAAACTGGAGCTGAGCTGAATTACCCACACTGGATTCCTCTGACCCAGTTATGTGAAGCAGAACTGATTACTCCACTTTCCACAAGAAAACTGTTGCATGCTTCTCGCCGATGCACGCGCCCAGAGTTCCAGTGAGCGTGTTTGTGTGGCTGAAACGTTTCGGTTAGTCTGAGGTGAATTATTGGTGAAGGATGTATTAATCTATAACCGTGGCGTTTGAAGGGCAGGCCCACGCAAACCAGCAAATCCAAGTGGACTCACTTTTCCCAACTTTTTTCAGTCAAAAACAGTTAAAATCTCACATTCCTTTAGGTTTACAACACAACAGAAGGCAGAAAACCTGGTTTCATTGGTGAAAATCCTACATTTTTGCCATAATAATGACATGAATGCAGATTTATCACGCTTACTTAGGAATTACAGACTTCAAATGCAGATATGACTATGATTGTGGGGAAACTATAAGCTGTAAGTGAATGATTTTCACACTGATTTACAAAACACTTGCAAAGTTTCTATGAAATTCCTCCTAAATCAGATTACTCCTGTGACTTTATCTGAGGGGCGAAAATCGCCGGGAAAAGGGAAAATCCAAGGACCAAGGAAGGACTGAACCTCCCTGTCCTCTGGCTATGGCTCACACACTCTCTCATAAAAACACACAAGTACAGTCTATGCATCTAACTTACCCACTCCACCAGTTTGACGAAGCCCAGCGGCTCCTTCAGGGGCGACAAGTTCAGCCGAAATCCGGTCATCATGATTGGACTTGTGATCCAAAAAAAAAAAAAAAAAAAATCTTCACCCTGTTGCTTCCTAATCTGTGGATGTTGGTCCAACAGGGAGGAAAAGGAGGGGGAGTTGTCTTGACAGAATGACGTGGGTTTAACTGCAAACGCTGCAAAAAATAACCAGAATGAAGTTACTTGAAGGGAGTTTAAGAATCCAACTGGCACCGAAAAAAGGGTGGAAATGCGTAATCCACGAGGAGAAGATCAGAATACTTACTGAAGATTCCGCTTGGCTCGTTTCAGGAATTTGTAACGGCAAAATCCTTACTTTAACGTGGCTGTTTTTTCTTGCAGTGGATCTTGAAAAACGAGTTGCTCGCGCTCGGCTTGGTGATGCGCAAACGATGCGGCGGATAAAGCGCGTAAAAGTGTGCCAAACTTCGCTTTGGTCAGAGCGCGTCGTGTCTAGTTACAGGAAAATGCAAAGCTTATCTAAAAGCCGCCCCACACTGTGACCAGAAAGATTTATTTTACCTCCACCGGGCTTGTGGGAAGGAGAAAAAAAACTACTTTAAATATCCTGCAGCTGCAAAATACGCACAGGGACTTATTTTCCCCAACCGCAGAAAACCCATGCAAATCAACACCGGGAGATTCAGTTCCGCACCAAAGTTGCAGTTACTTCACTTCTGAGCACCTAAACGCATCGGAAGTGCCCCACCGAGTTTTTTTTTCTTCTCTTCATTGGATCCATCCGCTAGAATATGGAGGCTGCCTCCTCCTTGCTGAGTTTGCAGTTACCGTGAATGAAACGCCTCTCTGGTGCTGACTGGGTCATATGACTGGAAGCGCACCAGGGGGAGAACACATTAAATGGAGACCTGGGGGGATTTTTGAGCGTCCAACACGTCGTTTTTTCCCCCCGATATTCTGGTGATTTTTTAATGTACTGATTAGTTCCCGTTCTGCATTCAATTATGGGGGAAATTAAGTAAAAGGAGAAGAGAAATCTGACACCAGATGGCAGTTTACAAACACCTACAGCAGTAAGACTCTCAGGAATTCTGTTTCTTTCAAGTATTTGTTCTCCTGGGGATCAACTTTCCTCATTTAATGTTATCCCTGCTGATGTAACACATATATAGGACAGATTTACTCTTCTGTCCTCTTTTGTTTGGGGAGTAACCTTCTTAAATGTTCTTATGGCATCAATTCACTCCTTGACTTTAAAGGTCCCAGATAGTGAAAATGATTTTTATTACATTTAGTGTGTTTTTAAAACTTTGGTGTAAAATAAAAGCAGCGAGAATATAAGGATGCTTCTGCTAATCCCATCCTCAACTAGATAGCTGCCTGGCTTTACTTTATCCAGTTTCTAAGTGGGAACCAGACAACAAATAGCAAAAGCTAGTTTGAGGTGAGCCATGCAGCCGTTCACAGTCTGTCAGGTTTACTAACTAACTCCTAACTCCTAAAATGTGTCTGCAAGAGTGAACACAACAATCTTCATGCATTCCTAGCAACCGAAGATGAAGTGGATTACTTTCACTCTTGATGGCAATGTCACCACAACAATAGAGAAGTCCTTGGTGTTAGCGTGGTTGTACGACTAATGTGGCTAACGTTGCCATGAGCAGGTCAGAGCTCTGTGGAAATGGTAAAGCTGAGAGACAATATGAAATGGTGGAAAAGAATGAACAAGACTGGGTGGATTACTGTGTTTAGGGGCAACCCAAACTCACCCAGCGTTTACATATTTGTGCTTCTCTCCTGCTCTCTGTGCTCATATTTACTGTATTTTAAAACAGCTGAATTCCCAATAAAGTTGTTCTCGTATTTTTGGTTTCTCTTGTCAAACAACAAGAGACTGCATATATATTCATTCATTCATTTTTCAACCAGATTTCTTTAAAAATACACAATCATGCATTTAAATGTTTCACAGCATTAACTCTGTGACTAAATGTGATTTAAAGGCAACACATTCATTGTTAAACACCCTCTAAGAGGCAGCTGTACTGTAGATTATCTTATACAAAGTTGGAAACAAGAAAACATGTGCCAAACTTCAAATACCATAGATTGAGAGTCCTCCCAAAGTTGCATCTTGGAGATTGAAAACAACCACCTTGGTTGAGGTGAATAAATGTTCAAAGCACTTTAAGCCTCACACTCTTGTTGGAGTCTCCGGTGAGTGATGTCGGCCCACTGTCCAGCTTTGTTTGTGTCCTTCACATCTGTCTGTGTGCACATCTGTCTGTGGAGGCAGGTGAGGGAAGAGAAGTTATTGCATCTGAGAGATGGAAGAGTCCACAGTTTCAAAGACAGGATAAGGTGCATCAGTTCTTTTTGGCAGTCAGCACTGTATTCACAGAGGACTCTTATTCTACTTCCTCATACCCTATAGACACGCGTTCAATAGAGACTTCTTGACTTAGGCGGAAATGTAACCACAGTACTCGTTCATACATGAAGCAGACACGTTCACATGCTGTCAGATTAATGGAAAAGAGTGCCTCCGAAATCTCTGTGGTCCAGTTAGAATAAGTCCAGAGGTTACTTTTCCACAAAAGTCGCAAAGGCAAAGTTACAAAGTTGGACCTAGATGGTCGATATACTTTGAGTTGTGTGTAGCAGTTAAAGGAAGGATTTTTTGACTTTTAAGCACCAATATTGGTCCAAAAACCTCACAGATAGCACAAAAGAAAACAATCTGCATGGCAAAAACACAAAACCCATTTCTCATTCACTTTGTCCAACATTGATTACAAATTGAAATTAAAACTTTACTGAGACAAACACAAACTAGGGCCCACTGTCACCCTAAGGAACGTCTGCTGAGCCCTCTGTACTTTGCATGATCAACATTATTGCATCACAATGCATTGCTTGGTGCTGTCTATGATCAGAACACCTTATAGAGAATTGTAAAATTGACTGAGAAGATCATGGACCATCCCATCCCCTCCACTATGAACATATACAACAAAAGGTGCAATAACAGGGAAATCAAACTTTAAATATCAAATAAACACTTCAGAATACATACATTCATAGGCCTGGGTGTTAAAACAATAGTGACACATAACACTTAATAGCAAAAATAACAGTGTTCCATAGTTTCCGTTAAATGTGTTAGATGCAAAACGCCATGAAATCACAAAAACTTGGTTCCATGAACAAACTCCAAGCGTGCTTCCTCCACAGCTCATAACCATCCTACATACCTTGATACTAGAGCTCCTTCGGCCTCCGTCTCTCTCCATGTTGGCTTCCATGCTCGAGGCACACTCGTCCCTTTTTCTGCAGACCTCCCCTGGTTCAGGCTGCAGTTGTGGGAAGCGATGGTTGACCTTCACAATCAAAAAACAATCCTGCACCCCCCACCACCTCCACCCAAGCGGCCTGCTCTGAGGATTGACGGACAATAATGTAACTTCCCTCTGTTTTTAATATGCACGAAGGTGAGATCATTCCTTTATCCTTACATATTTTCATTTATGTGCATTTTTTAATGTGTGTGTTGCATTCAAGTTATGACCTTTTCACCCTGATAAATGAGCTGCTAAATCCAAAGTAAGGCTGTTAAATTTAAAGTAAACTTTTTCTTTTATAGGACGTTTTCAAAATTCTTCATAACTCCGTTTGTCAAGATCAGTACTTTATAGCTATATTGCCCAACCCTACATACACATATATCACTGTTTATCTCTTGTTGCAGTGAGAACTAAACTCCTTACAGCATATTTCTTAGTTGTGTTTGCTTTTATGAACAGAGTTTCTACAAGCACTGAATCAGACTGAAACACTGGAAAGAGAGCCGACCATATGGAGCAGACTAGTTCCTGTTCCACTAAAAGCAGTAAACAGTAAAACATAACTTCTATAGATACAACAGAAATTTAATTAGAAATGAACTTTAAACATATTGTTCCTCATTGTATTCACAAAGAAATAAAATGTATACATCTTGATATACACATATTAAACACTCACCATTATATCAGCGGCTAACTAGCCGAAGCTAGCAAATCCTCCAGCACATAGACGGCCCCAGTAAACAGCAGTGACACATACTTTCATTAAAATTTGACAAACTGTGACCATAAAAAACTCATTTAGTATTTGCAAAAGGCTTCTGTGTAAGTTTTATGTGGGTTCAGATATGTTTTTATTGGATTACTGACCTGGTAAAAGTAGTAAATATCAGTGAACACAGCAGGTCGTTTCTCTGTAGCAGTAACTGGTTTTCTGAGCCTGATCGGCTCCCGTAGCCTCAAACTGAGCTCCTCGGTGACCTCACGGCTGATTACTGCCACCTAGTGACACAATACAAGACTAACAGGACATGAGACAAACAACTGATGATTAATATCCATCATTAATTACAGTATTTAAGAAGAAAAATGTGTTTACATGTATAATCTCACATTTTTTGGTGAGAAACATTCCTCCATAAACAACAACTTAGTCTGACTGGTATGATTTATTTGCTGCCTGTTGCCACAGTTTCCCTTTATTATCAATTATTTCTCAGATCATATAACTACAACAAATCAGAAGAGCTTTACTACTTATATTCAGTGGTTCATATAAATTGCTGGACTGGGACTGGGACTATTATACTTCAAGTAATTAAAGTACAGGTATCCTACTTCTTCCTACCAACACACATTAAATTACACTTCCATGAAAAAGAATTGAATTCTTAAAATGTTAGGAATGAATGCTGAATACATTAGACCTCACCTTTAATTCTATACAACATTTTTAGGGTCCGAGCACCCAAAAGGGTGTGAAGACCCTGTTGGAACTGCTTGGTTGTCATAAAAAATCATCAGCTTTTAAAATGAGAAGCTTGCTTCAGTTGTATTTTGCTGTTTCTACGACACTAAACCTTTCTCTCAAGACTCATTCACTGTGTGATGTGTGACTACCAAGCTGCAAATCAGGAAATACACACCTCGTCTAAATATTTCTATTACACTAAACCCTGATTTTTTTTTTTTGACAAACAAAACTAACACAAGAAATTACTTTTGAGAACTCCCTACACAATACAATAGTTCTACTGAACGATATAATCATTTACTGTAAAAGAAATCAGTGATAAATTGGTGATTTCTGCGCATCTTAAAAAGGCTAACTTGAATTTTTGAGTTTCTTTTTGAACAAACATATTTTAGTAATTTTAACAGTAATGTGAGATCCAATATAAAATAATATATATCTCCTATGGGACTGTGAAAATTCTTACAAAGCCAAACATGTTTCCTACATAGTGAATAGATTGTCTCTAAATATTTGGAGAACTGTATAGGTATTATAGAGAATTATATCACAAACGTCCTACAAAACCTTTTGGCAAGAGGTTTTTCTAACTAGGTGATGACAGTCTATGAAAAGTCATTATTTCCTCTCCCGCCAGATCGACAAGTAAGAGTTTTAACCGCATAAAAAGAAGCGTTTTGACTTGTGTGCAAACAGAGTTTATTTATGGTCCTTTGTTTTTACAAATCCAAGATGGCTGCTTGACACGTCAACAGCAGTGACAGCTTGTTAGCGTCTGATTGGACTTGCATGTGTCCACAGAACTTTGTGGAAGTAGTCAGCAGGGGGCGACTCTCCTGGTTGCTTGTAAAAGTCAGATCGTATAAGCTGATGTGAAAATGATCCTATATCTCATCCAATTCCTTGCCTCAGTAAATATTTTTCTAATGAGTTTATGGTACCAACTGCTTGATTTTTATCTTTCATAAATTATGGTCGCACTCAAAGAAAAATACACAAAGCAGAGTATGCTTCAGGGCGGGGCTACCTTGTGATTGACAGGCAAACTGATGAGCGACGTCACGGTCACACCATCCGTCTCTCATACGCAGGGCTCCATCACTTGATTGCGCCTAAACATGTTATTTGCTAAAAAGCCCAAAGCTGTCGTTCTTCCCGGAAAGCACAATCTCGTAATCGATCCCAAACAAAAACCCCCACAATAAATACATGGACCATTTCAAACTGACAGGGTGGCATCTTTAATCATCGTTTTGTTGACAATATAGCAAGTTATGTTAGTTAAAATATCAGTTGTGTTGGGAGAGAATTTGGAACAACCAACATATACATACAAGTAAAACAACAACAACAAAAAAAAAAAGAAAAGAAAAAAAAAAAAAGAAGTATTCACAAACACTGTTTCATCCGTTACACACGAGGCATTCACGCGGGACTACACGCACTCACACAAACAGAAGCTAAAAGCTCGGCAGTCACGAGAAACAGTCACACTGCCAGTTCAGTCAAGCAGTTTTGGATATTCTTCTGTTGGTACAAAAATGGTATTTCTGACAACGATAATAATAATCATAATAATATCTAGCGTGGTCGTCTCCCTAACCTGCCCTCTCTGCTTTCAGTCAAACTAACTTGTTTTATGTACAAGTGAGAAGGCAGTATGGCCGCATCGTTTGTAAATAAGGATTATTTACTGCAATAATTTCTGGCAATTTTTTTTTTCTCCTTTTGTCATACAAAATAATATTTCTCTTGAGGTAAGAACCAAGACAGTATCAAAATAGTAAAATGAAAATTTTACTAAATGCACCCCATGACTGGAAAAGAAAAGAAACTACTGTGTCGTTACTGGTAACAGGTGGGTAACAAATGATCTGATGGATGACAGCAGCGGCAGTTAGCGAAACCTGAAGGGAAATTAAAAAGAAATTATTTGTCTCAGCGTGTGACCGGCTGCGGAGGAGAGAGAAAAACGGGAGGTCGAGTGACATCACAGGTTTTCTTCAAGGTCCTTCCTGGTTAATAAAAAAAAAGCGTGTGAGGGAAAATGAATGGGGTCAGCGAGGCTCTAAAAGCTCCGGTGAAGATGCTCAGGGGAAAAACACTTAGCAGGCCGTGAAGCCATGCACAGCTCCCGAGGTGAGTGTGTGTGAAGCAGCTCGATGTGGTCTGGGGATAAGTGATTACCTGGAGTTTGAACGAGACGTTCTGCAGCATAGCGGCTCTGTGATGCTTTGACACTAAGGGTGCAACTGATGATTATTTATTCTTTTTTCTATTGATCTATAAAATGTTGATCAGTGTTTCCCAAACATTTTATTTTGTCCTCGACCCAAAGATATTTAGTCACGGAGAAAGAAAGAAACCAGAAAATATTCAGATTTGAGAAGAAGCTGGAATCAGGTTTCTATGTTTTTTTGTTGTTTTTTTTTTTTTTTAGTTGACAGCTAGTTGAATAATTGTTGCAGTTCGACTAAACACAAAGTGTAGCTGAGGCTAACGGGAATGTCATTAGTGGGACGTGACAACCGTATATCATGGTGATCCACCCAATGGCTGATGAGACACTCAGCCTCATGAGAAGAGTGATGGATTCTGTTAATCTCAAGTGTATAAAATATCATCCAATCCAACAGTTTTTCACCTCCACAATACCCCTCTTCCTGTGATGCCACCAGCTCCTGAACTCCCCCTCCCAGCCCTGCGACAGAAAAGTCCCCTTCGCTCTGAAAAGAAAAGAAAAAAACTCAGCACCCATCACAACCCCCGGAAAACAGGAGCGACACTCTGCTAAGATGCTCTGAACGGGAAGATAATTAACCCAGAGGAAGGCATTAGCGAGCATTTATAGGTGGGGTTCAAAACAAGAGTGCTCCCCGATACAGTGCGTCAACCACACTTCTTCCGGGAAACACCTCAAGTTTTTTTTCCTCCACGAGTTAAGGCAGTGATGCTAAGGGCAACGCTTCGCTGACCGGTCAACTACGCCCCACCAGCTACCGATGCAGGGTTGGTTAGTGTCAGGAACCTCTTTGTTGCTTTTACATCTGCCCGTCACAACGCTGTGTCTCCTCTCTGAATAAAAAAAAAAGGCCAGCAAAGTAAGAGTGTTCTCTATTCCCCTCCCTCCCTCCCTCCCCGCCCCGATCGACAAGCACATTTGCATAAAGGAATACTACACTGTCCTTTAAAGGAAGAAAATGTCACACGCATACACACAAACACACACACACACACACATCAGAACCGACACTAAATACACATTTCAACCCAGGAGCCACACACAGTATGTAATCTTTCATAAACACATATCATCTTCATTCCAGTGAAGAAGAATTTCTGCAATGTTTTTTTTTTTTCTTTTTCTTTTTTTTTTTACATCTTCTCTTGGTCTTACACAGCATAGACTTGGCATTCGTCATCATAAAGGTCCAACCCTTCCCCTCCCCGGAAAACAAACAAACAAACAAAACAACCCCAGACTTTGTTAGAAAAATTAATCTTCAGGACTCGGAAAACAGTGAAACAACTGATTAAAATGAGATTCTCGCACATATTTATATCAAACCTATGTGAAAATTCAACCGACATTTAAAAGCTGACGTTAAGAGCGGACAAACCTTCCTTACATGTGTTCTGTGGTGTGATTAAACCGCGGATTGGACCTTCATGATGGGAACGCAACATGGGCAACATAATGGCAAGGAGATGATCGTTTACACACCTTCAAAGATGCACCGGTAACATTTTTTTTTTTTTTGCCGGCGGAAAGAGAGTACATGTTATTCAGGTAGTATTTGATAAACACTGGCCTTTTATAATTTGGCCCTCATTAAAGCGAGAAATCAGAGGAAAATGAATTCCTTCATTACCCATAGTTAGAGTATTCATGATTTTCAGGTCGAAAGCAAATATATAAACTGCTGTTTGTCAATGTTACCGGTGCACCGCTATTATACCGCGATCATCACTTTCTTCCTTCACATAAAAGACAAAGCTAAGTAGATTCAGACATGTATTGGTTTTTCTAAACAGATCTGTACAGATTACACGGGGGAACAGTCATTAGAGTGGGTGTGGCTTCGAATTTTCGCTCTGTCGTGATCACGTCGACTCGCCGCGGGTTCACTCTGCATGCAGCCGCCCAAAGCTCATTCAAAAAAAAAAAAAACAACAACCCCCTACAATCGTCTCATTAGCTTGTGTGTCAGCATGGAAACATCTTGCCGACACGTCATCCGCCTGCAGCCAGCCAATCACATTCATTTAAACTGCAATACACTCTTATCAGTGCGACATGTTGAAGTTCGATTTGGGGCAGCAGCACAAAGACGTGACTGCACGGGTTTAAACGTCACAGTCGTGACTCCACTCCCTCTACGTATCTGTCGTTTCTGCTGCTTTCAATACCTTCTCTTTCATAACCCTCCTCCCCTAACACTTATGAGATGTTTGCCATTGATCTGAGGTGCGTGTTTCCAAATCTCTCATTCCCCACAAACAGCATTTTGGAAATGAGGGTGAATTCCATCTTTTTTTTTTTTAAGGGGCTCTCAGGTTTTTAGGAACTTTTCTCAGGCTTTGGAAGTGGGGTCTATTAGCAGTGCACACTACCTCCGTTTTCTAGGGTGATACTGGAGGCCAAAAGGTGAAGGGTTGAAGAGGAGGGGTTGTTTTGGGTGGGATGGGGGTTTTGGATAGTATGTGGGGGTTTTTAGTGGGACCGCACTCAGTGCAGCAGCTCTTCAAGCTCGCTCTCTTTGAGCTTAGCATTGTCTCTGACTTCGTCGAATGTGTACGTCTTCACAATCTTCCCGTTCTGGAAGACTGTGTGCAAGAGGTCCTGGAGAGAGACAGAAAAACAGGGAGGAGGGAAAAGAGGGGAAGGAGGGAAAAGAGGTCAGAAGGTCAGTGTTGAAATTAAATGATAACGTCCTAGACTAGAAAGTGTTTAAGAGTACAAAAGTGCTTGGCTGCTTTTGTGTAAATTGAGCTCACCACTCCATACTCCTCCAGGTCGCCCTTGCCCTCCTCCAGGGTGACAAAGTCTCCACTCTGTGTCCGGTGTAGAGACAGACGTCCTTTCTTTGACCTCTTGTTGGGGTCTGCCACTGGATCCTTGAACACATTCACCTGAGCACAAAAAAAACAATGTCACATTTGAACAGAAAGGGGAATTTCAAATCCAGGTCTATGATGCAAAGTGATGCACAGATTCATGTACGGTCAAATCTGAAAATAAAGCCTCACTTAAAAGCAACAACGCCTTTACTAAAATAAACATAACTGCATTTTTAAGAACAGTTTTCAATTCTAGCGTGCCAGTGCTCACCCCCAGTCCGTTGGTGACCACATAGCTGCATTTGAAGGAGCAGTTGAGCAGATCCCTGGTCAGTTTCTGCAGCAGAGCCCCTCCAGACCCAAAGGCAATGTTCTCAATGGACCACTTGTGTTCCTTCATACCCTCCACTATCTGTGGAAAAGAAAAAAAAAATCAACAGAGTCATAATTAGCTGTTTACGGTCGCCGGCTTGTCAGTCAAAGCTGCCTTAAAACTACGACCATCTGGCGAGAGATGCAACCGCTTGTACACGTGTTCCTACCTCTTGCAGCGTGTTGATATCGACTCCGTCTCCTTGTATGACTCTGATGTAGGGAGGGAGAACCTTGAAACCTTTAGAGTTCTCCTCTGTAGGGAACTTCTTACCCAGAATCTCCAAAACCTGACAACAGGTAAAAGAAGGTGAAGCGAGGGTTAGTTTACAAGTTTAAAAAAAACAATTCTAGATGAAAGCCGAGCTGTTTATGCTGCTGCACCTTCAAAACTGTATCGAGCGGGTTTCCTGAGTCCGGTCGGACCACCAGCGGGGCGTCGGCGCTGCGCGTCTCTATCAGCGATCGTAGGTCTTCCCCCCAAATCTTCTCGCAGGCGTTGTAGATGTCGTAGCTGTCGCTGACTATGGATACGGGCACGCTGGGAAACTGCTTGATGATGTGCTCGAAGGCATCTTTTTCATGGTCCTTGCCCCACGCTGTGATGGTGCTGCAGAGAAAGAACGGCGAGGCAAGTTTAAAATTATACAATGACAAACAAATAAACTTGGAAATACAAGGAGACAGCCTCCTACCATTTAGGCAAAATATAATGAGGAAAGTAAAAGAAAAAAACAGCAAGAACCAGACATGCAGGGAAGACGCGCAACAAATAACAAGACAAAGAAACGCAGCAGAGAACGGTAAATTAAAAAAACAAACTTTAACTTGGAACATTTGAAGCTGTAGGAAAACAGCAGGTTGTGAAGAGAACAAAATAAAAAGTAGAGTTGATGGAGAGGCTAGTTAGAGTAAAATGTTCTCACAAAATAAGGTTAAAGACTACTGACAATGCCACAGATTGTCCAGGAGAGGGCAGTGCACTCCAGGTTTTAGTGTAACATGAGACCATATCAGATCTTAAAGCTTCAAACTGGCTCCTTTCAGCCAGTTTAAATATCACATGTACGCTCAGTGAGGCATTAAAAAAAAGAGCATGAAATCATGTAAACGGAGGAAAAAGCTCTCCTCTGTAGAAATGATTAGTTGATAGTGGGGCCATGACGGATTATTTTACTACAGGTCTTTGCTATGTGCTGAACAACGCTGAAGCTGTAGGCCCTCTAGATTGTTATCCATCACCCAGCAGCATAAGGAAAGCGTGTGATCAGTCCCTAATTCATTCATATTGATAGAATTACATATTCAGCAACAAAAAGAACAAGGAGCCCTGCAACAGATGGTCCCGGCCCCTAGAGAACCCTGATGTCAGCATCCGGGAGGCGGTCTGGCTTTATATAATGAGGCAGATAGAATCCACAGATCTGTGGAAAGTTTCCTTCAAGATGCTTAAAACAACTCAACTATGAAGACAAACTGCGCAATTGGTGCCGTTTTAAAAGAAAAGGGGCAGTCTCGCCGAACAAATTTTCTTCCCCAGTACTACGCGGTAGTTTGAAAGCCGGCTGGTTAGTTGGAGGATGCAGCATGATGAGAAGTGGATTTGGAAATAATACAGGCCCCGCATAATTAAACGCGCCACATGTTGGGAAGTCGCTTAATGTTTCAGGCATCTGATTGTGACTGTTGGATGAGCAGCCAAGCAGGGTTTTGTTTGTGTTGTGTGTTAATATGAGCTTGATGAAACCGTGCAGGTCAGGTCTGATGGATGTGGGCGCAATACGGGCGTGTGCACTCTCAGGTGAACTGTCAGCTCAGATCGACCTAATATACGCCAGGTTTGCTCAGCATGCTGATCATTCTGTATTTCTTCACACTTCTCACCAGGCACATGAGCCCCCTCTCTATTTTAAAATAGTCTACTTAAAAATTAAAGGCTGAATAAATCCAGCTTCTTCGTGCTTGTAGTTAAAACTGGGTCTGAACATAGTTTTGGTTTCATGTGTTGCGTTGATGCTGGATCTGAGATTGCTGCTGCCTCTCTAAGAAAATGACGGTATCTAGACTTCTGTTTCTGGTTCAACTGGTCCTGCTACCCACCACAAATATTGTGGATGTGAAACTTGTTTGGTATATGGAGAGCAAAAGTCAGCTATCTGACAGTTTATCAGGAATAACACAAACTCAGAGAGGCAGTTTTGTTCTAAATTGAACTCGTGATGCAACAACAGTCTCTTTGCATTGGAGATTTAATGCTTTGCTAGTTTAGAAATGTTATTATTTCAGCATAGTAAAAGTGTTTCATTTCCCTTCATAGGGTATTTCTGTTTCATTGGAGGAGACTCAAACTTCTACATGTAAGAGTTCTGAAGGTGACGCGCCTTTTCTTTAAAGTCAGCCCTCCCTCTTCTCTCTCTTCCCTCAACGTCGGAATCAAAGTGGAATTTCACTGCGACTCCTCCCCCCCTGAGGTAGAAACGAAACCAATTTAGGAAGGGGGGGGGGCTATTACATAAGAGTTGCCATGACAACTCCTGCCACCATCCCACAATGCACCGGAGCGGTGGAAGAAGGGTGCGCTGGAGCAGCAGTAACTGCCCTGGTGGCGAGGAAGAAGCATGTGTGCAGGAGAGCGAAACAGAGAAGAGGGAAGAGTTTGTGTGTGTGCGTTCGGGATAAATGGATCAGCGCCATAAAACATCACCGGGGAACATGTGAGCGACGTGTGCCGGCAGAAAAAAAAAAACCAACCCTCACCTCAAGCCAATCACCATCCCATTCAAGAAAAATGAAATAGATGCACCGGATGATGTGTGCGAGGCCGGACAAGCTCTAATCAGGGGTAGCAAATTAACACCAACCTCAGCCAAAACGCTGAGGAAATTCTCACTCTGGCTGATAGAATCCCTACACCAACAGCTTTGGCAGATAATTAGCTGTTATTTGGAGCATGTTTTCTACTCTGAAAATCAATTTGGCTTGCGGATGATAAAGTTGGCACCCGTACCTGGATCTGGAGCGGCAGCTGAGGAACTGTAACCCTGTACTTTCGGGGGAATATGTGAATACGTGGCTTATGCTGATAATTAACACTGTGCTCGGGGATTTAGCCTCTATGGGCTATGTGTAATGCTTAAAAGTTTCTGCGGAGCTCAGAAATCCCTTGAAAGGAGTGTTGGGCACTCTGGCAGACATCCATCATTTCTTGGAGGTCTTGCACTACTTTTCTAATAACTAAAGTAGGTGGTGAACTGCTGCTCTACATCACACTGAAAACTGTCCCACTACGTCTTCTGTCAAAGCCAGGTGACGCCAGAAAAGTGGGCCACGCAGAGAAAATAATAAATAAATGCAAGAGAAGCGTGTGTGTGTGTGTGTGTGTGTGTGTCTACCTGTGCTCAGCAGCAGGCACTGAGAAGCCTGGCACAGGGTCCTTGGTGCCGTAGTACTTCTTAATGACTCCGATGCCGGCGACTGTGTCTGTGCCCTTGAAGTTGACGAGATGGGCGGAGGCTCCGATGCCTGCAGTCTGTGAGCGAGGAAAAGGGGCGGAGAGGTTACAGGCCATGCTAGTCCAAAAAAATGCCCTATTTTGTTCTGTACTTTTCAAAACATAATAATTTATTAATGTCACTGTAGCATAAAAGAACTAAACATTAACCTGAAATATTATAGTGCACTCAAAAATCACTTAACTGTTTTTTCTTTGTGTGTTAAGTTTAGTTAACTTTGTCTTAAAAGTCTCCATATTTTTTCAGTATTATACACCACTTGCTTTGTCAGTGATCTATGACTGTACACTGCATTCTGTAAAACAAATCAATAAATAAAGAAAAACTATCACGTGGACCTTAAGTTAGAAGTATTTGAAACCATGTATAAGAAACTAAGTGAAATTTAAACTTAACATTCTGTATGATTTAAACATGCCGCTTAGTTCTGCCAGCAGGTTATCTTTTTTTCTTCTTCTTTCTTTTAAGCCACCAAAATTACACTATAAATCAAAGACAGCAACTTTTCGACAGTCCTTGAACTGCTCATCTGTGAAGAGCCGATACGTAGGAAAACCGAACCCCATCTAAGCCTACATTTAATCAAATTCACTTTATTCTACACGTCTAATTTTAAAAAATTGTCAAAACAACCTGCAACCTCTAATCACATTCTGTATAAAATCAAAAAATTTGCCCGTCTCTGTAACTGTGAAGCCAGTAGTGACTCAGTTGTGACAATAAAGTGGCTAAAATTCACCGACTTTTTGGCTGAATTGCAGACAGTGTTTACAAACAGTAAAACATCTGTAGTATGTAGATTTTTTCCTCCAATTTTGGCAACATTATAGGAAACTTAGAAAATGCTGAAACAGGCTGAGTCCACGTCTTTCAAATTTAAATAATCAAAGAAGTCAAATTTTTCTTTTTTCTTTATGATTACCGATATTAGAACTGTGCCATATTGCACAAAAAACCTCTTAGAGTTCCCTCTACTCCTGGTCATGTTTGTGCTGTTTCCATAGAGGTGCAGGACTTCATATTGCAGCGGAAAAGAAACCCACGCTGAGTAAATATGTGAACCAAGAAGAGCACCTAACGACAGTCAAAGCCCTTATCTGTGTGCACATACTTGGCTAATAAGGCTGATTCTTTAATTTGCTTCATACCTCTTGTGAGGACACGCCTCTGTAGCCGAAGTCATGTAGTTTGTACTCTAATCCCTCCAAGTTCCCAGAGGTCTCGAGGAGGTACTTGGCGAGGATCTTCTTTTGTTCTCTGGAGTTGGTCGCCACAGTGATGGGATACCAGATCTGAACCAGGATGGTCTGAGTGACAGAAAAACACAAACAGTTCATTTAGGGTCACTTCTTCTGCACTTGATGATAAGCTTGTCAAATAAAGAAAAAAAAAAAAACTGTATCATTTCCAAAGCAAGCCTCCCCAAACAAACATCTCTGTGTCAGCATTACTCGAACTTCTAAAATAACAAAAACAGTGTACAGACCTGTGAGCGTCTGGTCCAACCGTAATGCTTTGTCAGTATTCAACTGGTGCTAGAAGCCCAAACTAACAGGCTCAGAGGGATCAAAGCAGTCTGCTCATTCACAAAAGACAAATTCTGGGAAAACTACATTCCTCAACGTGTCATGTCAACTGTGGACCTGAGTCATAGATTTTAAATAAAAACAAGAGGCTTATCTGTGCTCACCAACACCTGGGAAATTTAATGAATACACAGTTTCTACGCAGCATAGAGTACACGTGTGTGTGTGTTTTTGTCTATACACCTCTTTTGAAGCTCTATGCGTCCGTCAAAGGGCACATCATTTATGAGATATTACAACCAGCAAAAACTCAATAAATCCCAAAGTCACCAATCACTGAACTTCCTAGAGAGAGAAATCTAATCTATTCTGGTTAATACTGAGTCATCCACCAACACGAAGCCAATATTGCGCAATTACACACACTGTTTCCTATTTTTGACAACGTATACAAAGCTGTGTTTGTACAATACATTAGGAATGACCACTAAGTGCCGTGCAATGTGTGTCAAACCTCATTAACGGCAAACAAAGGGAGCATGCATGACTAAAATTCAAAACACCAGGATGCAGAGCCGTGCTCCCTCCCCTTCAGTGATTTAAAAGATAATGAGGGAAGAAAAAAAAAAACATCCCTGCAAACTTCCAGCCCCGATTCCTCGTTGACTTTGCCTGCTAACACTATACGACGTGTTTCCACCCCGAAACCCTGAGCAGGTCACATGCCTCCTTAGACTAATCAAAATATAAACCATAATATGGACTCATGTGACTGCCAGAGCAAGGCCAAAGTCCACACGCATGTGTCTGTAGGGCTATCTTTGTGAAGGCATTCTTTTACCTAATGCATTCCCTGGCCCCCTGACCTTAACCTAATTCTAACCTGGACCCTCCAATCTGGACACACTGCTCTTTGAAGGTTTGTCAGAAATCATGGAACAGCCAAAACATCTCAAAACTACTCATTAAGAGACACAGACATGTTCCTTCTACCTTATCTACATGCTGACCTTTTCATTAAAACATTCTGTGACATTTAACGTGACATCTAACACTATAACACGAGCGTCTGAATGCAGATTAACACTGTGAGTTTCTTCCAAAAGTCTATTTACTTTTCATGATCTGCAATTCTGCATTTGTGTTGAGTTCAATGTAGGCGCCGAATTAAAAATGATTGCAGAGTTTCTTTATGCGATCTGAGCCATTGTGCGACAGTTTGTAAGCGATAACGCCAGTGAAACGAGGAAGCAGCTCAGCAGAAACAACACCAAGCTGGAATGTGCACGCACAAGCACACAAACAAACACACACACACACACACACACACACACACACGTGCCAACATAACTTCTCTGTCAATGTCCCAGAACAAAATGGAGGGAGATAAGCAACAAGAGAGAAGGGGGGGAGAGGGATAACGAATGAGGAAGGTGATAGGAATAGAAAGTGGGGAAAAAAGGGAAGAGATAGAGGGTAAATGATAAAATGATGTGACAAAAGAGAAGAGAATGATTAAAAGGAGAAGGGACAGTTGGAGCAAAGGGGACGGAGAGGAATGGAGTTTGAGCAAATGACGCAGCCCAAGGACACCAGGCTGAACGCTAATTTTACATCAGGCATGAAGAATGACCCTGTGTGTGTGTGTGCATGTGTGTTTATGTGTGTATTTTTATCAGCCACGGCAACACAAGGATGTGTGTGTGTGTTGTCACAGAGCTCTCAGCTGCGGGTGACCTATGTGCAAGCACTATTACATTTCAGTATTCGCCACTACACTGTGCACATACACTGTACAGGGAGTATGCATCAAGTTATTGGTAGCCGGTCTGCTAACGTGTTGGCAAGATGCTCCTGAAGAAGGCTTTCCTTTTGCATCCATAAGCATAAACAACAGCACACTGCTTCTGTTTAATCATATTCGAAGAAATCACTGCATGATCAATCTGTGGGAGCAGTCAAACGTGAGATTTTTGAATGGGGCCGGCACGGTGAAAGAGAAACAGAAACAGCATGAGTCAAAGGCAGCGTTTAGAGGAAGCCAGAGTAAAGATGTTGCTCACGGTAAACGAATTTAGCTCTGCCGAGTCATTGCAGGCGGTCTGTTCATGCAGCATTAAGTTCACAAGATGTTTCTGATCTCAGGGCCGGAGTCGCGCTGTGGATTAGCTCAGCGTAATAAAATGCACTCCGAAGACGTCCAGAATTCAGTCCACTTCAATTCTGCTGTAGTTTATTTTAAATACAAAACACATGTTTGTGTGTTTTAAATGCGTATTAATATGACAAGACAATCGCGGTGCTTATGGTCAGTGATGCCACTTGAAATCGCTGCCAACATAACAGGACGATTACAGGAGTAGATTGCTCAATTTTCTGAGAGTGGACGAGAATGTAGGTACTGCTCTCACAGCTGTATGGTGAATATGAAGCTAAAGCTGATTAGCTTAGCTTAGCATTAGGATTGGAAACAGGAGAAAGGAGGTAGCTTGGCTCTGTTGAAAGATAATAAAATGAATTTTAAAAATACAGTTTGCTTCACAGCGGCCAGGAGGTGAATTTTGTTTCCCTCATACAGAGCCAGGCTTGTTCTTTTACTGGCCTTTCTTCTGTCTTTATGCTGCTTATGAAGCAAAAATGGTGATTAACATTAGAGCCCAACTGACTTATTGACCCGTGGCTTCATATTGGTATCGGCACACAAATTGTCTGACGTCAAAACTTATTTTAAAAGAGGATAATGTAGAAAACGAAGCTGGAAATAAGTTAAAAATGGAGCCATCACATAGTCTGTTTAGCACTTCATAGCCTCTCGTTGAGTGTAAGCTAACATTTTAGCATCAAAGCTCATTCTCCCTATACATTACAATATCAACAGAAGTCTAACCAATGCTAACGCCACATGTGTAAATAATGAGAACTCACAGTTTGACACGGAATCCAAACTGAACAGTCACGGCATTAACAAAGGTAAACTTTAAGCCTGTTTTTCCACCAGATATGGAGCAAGTTTCCAATTAATATTTATAGCAGAAGTGTTATTTATATCTTGACTTGGCAGTAGCATTAGTTACTATCTGTGATCATCATACAGGAACAGCATTATTTTTCTTAAGACATTTTGACTATCAAGTAATAAAGTTATTCAGAAGTATCACATTTCCTGTAAAGTTTAGTCATTTTGAACCATAAAGTTTGTTGGTAAATTGTAATATCTCTCTCTCTCTATATATATATATATACACATATAAGCACTGAAAACCCAGTATTGCTCGTATTCTCATCAATTAATCAATGTGCTCATCTAACCATCAGCAACAAGATTAATTAGTGCATTTTCCAGAATTGCTGAGCTGTTCATCCACACAGCAGCCCACAAAACATGACTAACAGTTTTTACTTTGGCACTGGTGTCGGGGATATCACAACAAGTGCACAACGCCAACAAATGTATTAACTCATCAAAACACGCACAACTTGGAACGAAATCATTCACAGGTGAACCTAATGCCCCGGTTGTGTCTGTCAGTAAATTAAAATGCCGAATGAATCCAGCTGACAAACACGTTTCACTCTGTTCAGATCGCTTCCAGAGACGAGGGGTTGAATCAGGACTCGCATTGTTGTGTCACATCTTTGGACCACCTGGCACGCTGCCTTTTGTACTTTTGAACTTGTGTGAATCATTTTGCTGCAGTTACAGCACATATCTAATCAGCAATTAAGCAATAAGCCGTGACAGGGATGTAATTCACTCAGATTTAGGAAGCAGAAAGAAGCGCCATTGGGCTGGCTGCCAAGGCTGGAAAAAAACTTTATGGTTTTTATATAACTATTAACTCACCATTGTAGTAAATATGGTATAAATGTTGCATATATCAGTCGCCTTTAATCAATAATCAAATTAAAGTTAATCATTAAACCTCGCTGATACGCCTCGCAGAAGAGTTTAAGCGGCAATAGGAAGCGCGCATAAAATTTTTAACAGCTATATGAGGGCCTCTGGGTAAGAGATTTATAATAGCTTTTAACATGATAGAGCTAATAAACAACTGATAGTGGTCAGGAGGGCTCCGGTGATTTAACACTGCACTTTAAAAAGGCACAAGACTCACAAGAGACAGAATTAAAAATGAGGAATGGTCAAAATTGAATGTTTTGCTTCGGATTACACACAGAAAAAAAAAAATAGACCTCAAACCCAGAGAGACTCGAGCTGAATAATACATATCATGTTAGGACCCTGAGGGGAGTGTCCCGTTCCTCCTCTCTCTATTCTGAACAAACAAAACAGACCTACCTCCACCCAGTTGGTGAGCCAGTAGCATTCAGGGTCTGTGCTCTCCACTGTGAACAAAACATTGCCGCGAGGAATGACGCTCCCCTCTGGCACTGCCTTGATTTCAATGGGCAGGTGTCCGTTGTATTTCTGCAAACACAAAAGACAGAAAATCTCAGTTAGAATCAGATTTGCACTGTCACGGTTTCTACTGCTTGCACAGAGGTGTTGCTGTTTTTATTTTTATTAAAACGACTTGAAAAGGGTGATGAAGGTGACACGACTGGCAGTGATGCAGTTTCTGGACCTTCAGACGTATAAATATGCGTCGCACCTGGTGCAACCTGGAGAGGGCAGTGACATTATGCAAAATATGCACATTTTAAACCTGGCGTGAGGTATACTTTGTGAATTTATGGAGCGTTTCACACGAATAACAAGTGGATACGAGCCGCTAACGAAGGCTGAGGATGTGGGCAATGTGAACGCCGGTTGAAAGATTATTAACATGAAATACTGTGATCTGCAAGAAAAACACAATGCTGCCAGAGTGAGAGCTGATTAAGCAATGTGACAAGAGATGACAGAGAGATGACTGACAATAAATCAGATTTTATTAACGCTTCTACTCACTCGAGAAAATACTTTGTCAGTACAGAGAGTTGTGCTCTCTCCAAGGTGCTGAAACTGTACCTCTCAATAACTCGACATAAAGTATGTGCGTTTTCTTGGATGCATAAATCAACCGTGTATCTCAAAGTTTTACTAGTTATATACTTTCTTCCTATGGAAAACAGGGCAAAACTGGTTCAGACTTCCATTATTTTGATGCAAGCTTCACCTAAACATGAAGAAAATGCTCTCTGTTATGAGCAAACAGACTTTTAAGGATCAAGACATCCCTAAAAGCGTTTGCACATTTGTTTTGTGTATTTTTGGAAGCACTAAACTCTTATGCTCTTATTCATCAAAAGTTGCTACTAACACATCCGACAAAATAAATCTGCCAGTAATCACATTGGAAGTTTGTCCTTTGTCCATTATGTGTGTTTTTCAGGAACACACATATGTCCTGAGGGCGTCTGAGGCAAACCTCAAGCCTCTCTGTTGAGAAACATCACCTTCAGAATGTTGCATGTGCAAACATTACGATGTCCTGCCACATGTGTACATGTACACTCACATACCTGCTGATAACCTCCAGCGTCCTGCTCACCCCCAGTCTCTCTAACCCTCATGAAATCTACCCATAAATATGCATGAAAACTATTCTGTACAATTGCAAAGCATTAGCAAGAGAGAGAGAGAGAAAAAAACAAGTGGATTTCTGGGCATTTTCAGCAGTCCCTTACCTCCAAAATGTAAGTCCACCCCTTCTCATTAAAAACATCATCCTGGAAGTGTTCTCTGTATACCTCCTTCGCCTCCTGAATCTTCTCTGGAGTCACTACCTTTCCTGGAGGGGAGGAAGGAGAAGGAAGGAAGGGAGGGAGGGAGGAGTTGGGGGAGCGAGGAAGGAAGCAGGAGAGAGAAGAAAGCAAAAGAGGATACAGAGTGAGATGTTGGAGAAACATACCGGAAGGCACAAAGGTGCTACTTTACTGTCCACGATTGTAATTAAGTTAGAGGCTTCCTGTGCACGCTGACAAAGCACCTTTGTGCAAAAAAAAAACACACAACTTGTCGACTAACTCTGTCGCTCATTTCAGGTTCGACACGTTTTGAGAACATGGAAACCACAACGGGCAAAAGTATACACAAACATGAGTGGAAATCTTTGGAAATTCACCTATTTGATGTACTGCTGAGGGTCACAGAAGTGGATTGATACCACTGTCTTGTCTATACAGTGTAGCCGCCTGCTTCCCTTTGGATCTAGACTTTATGCTAAGCTAACTTATGCTAAACGGTCCGAAAGAATGCAGTAAGACAATACCTGAAAATCTGAAACCACTGCTTTACGTGGTTAGTTCTTAATCAAAGCTGCTGTCCATTAATGTTTTCAAAAGTATAACCAACTTTGGTCATTGAAAGGCACAAATACTTGCAATTTTAGGATTAAATCAGTTTTTTAAAATGTAAAACTATAAAGTTAAAACTCCTTTTAGTCTTCTTTAATACCTAATAGTAAGATTTTGGCTAACAAACGCTCTGCTTTGACTTTCACTCCAACTCTTCCTTTATTCAAGAAAATGACGAAGCACACTTTTGTGTCTAAGTTCAAGGATCAGGGACGTATCTCTAATACTTGGCCTAATCATGGAGCTGCAAGGGATGCTTAGCACAGACAGCTGGCCTTTCTCCCTCAGACGGTGAAAGAGCAGCTGTGCTTTTGTCTTCGCGCTCCCTGTTCTCCCTGGCACTCTTCCCCCGCACCTCTGCTACCACACCATGAAATCCTCTTAAGAGACCGGAGAGAAAGATGCATTCTTTCGACTCCTTTTCTCTTGCTCTCTCTCAGGATCACTTCAAGTAGGACGAAGATCAAAACCTTTAGCAGCTCAGGTTAATTAGGGCGGAGAAGATTTCGAGTGCAGTACATTTGGTCTTATTTACAGTTTGTTCTTGTTTACTTTTTCCCCTTCCGAACACTGGTTTCTTTGTTTTGAGCTCTAATCAATATGAAGCACACTGTAACCTTGTTTCTTTTTTTAAGTGAATACAAGAACCGTTGCTGTGGGCCTTAATAGCAAGCACCAGCCCTGCTGAAGTGTCCTTGAGCAATGCAGTGAACCTTGAATAGCATAAGGCATGTTGACCCTGCACGGCAACCTTGCCCTGAACAGGGAAGAGCCAAAAGGATCTAGCGTTCCCACAGGGACTAATAAAGTTTCACAAAGGGCTTTGCAAAGTTTGGAGGCTTGACTTTTTAGCAAGACTTAGCATTTAGTTATCTAAGCTAAAAAAATCTTTTGATTTCTCCAAACTGAGTTGAGCAGTGAAACAAAGGTTGTACAATGCAGCTCCAAACATCACCTACAGAGCTTGATTTCTTTAAATAAAGTAAAAGAGCAAAATAAACAACATGTATGTGCCATCCAGGTATTGGAATGCTACCCTTATTTGATTTGCAAAGTTGACTAGAAACACTTGTATTTACACAAATGATTGCAAAGCTGCAATCTGCAAAGTCATTCCATCTGGCAGCCACCACAACCTCAGTGGGTAGGAGGTCACTCCTATTGTACACAGCGTGCATCAAAACTTACCTTTTAGGTATTTGTGGAGGATGTACTGTAGACCATAAAAGACGGTTTTGTCATATTTGACTTTTCGGCTTTTGGTGGGATCTGTCCTTTTCTCGCGGCACTCGAAGTAGGAGTACACTTTACTCGTGTTGGGGGGATACTGTTTATAATGCGTTACCTGCAGAAGATAAAAGAACAAGGTCACTCGTCACGAAGAAGCAGCCCAACGAGAGACATACATAAAATAACAAAAGACGACATCAAGTTGCTAAGCTGCAGACTCAGCTGAAAAGTTGGCCGCAGCTTTACATGACCCGTTTAGCTCCACAATAAGCAACTCACATCGACGTAGCCACCACCGTGATTAATGAGGAAAGTCATAATCTTGACTCTGCCCTCACTGAACTGTCGATGTATTAAAGGAAGTGAGCTTGCAAAGTCCTCCGTGAGCCTCGTTTATTAGCTGGTCAGGACACTAAGAAAAAATGCATAATTCCCTAATAAGTTAAAAGGTTGGGTTTGGGGTACACCGAATACATTAGCAGGTCTCGGGGTATTTTGGCGTTGCTAAACAGGAGGGATTGGACTTGCAATGTAAAGTTTCACAACGCATGGTGCAAAACGCTGGAATTGTGGCACTGATGAAACCTCCTTCACAAGTGCTGAAATGCCTGAAAATTACATAGCGAGTCCGGTTTTAGAACTACTTAGTCTACACAAAGTCCATCCAAACACCCCACGCATTCATTTTTGTTTGATGTCTGGGCAATTTGGGGTTTGCAGAGGTAAGAATATAACATTTTCAAACAGCGAATCACATTTTCTTTCACAGAAACGAAACTCGGTGTAGAGCTCTATTAAGGGTCATGACCTAAAGTTTATGGCGCACAGTCATCGTGGTATTTTATCTACGATTATAGCAAACATTCTGGTTCAACAAAAGAGCCATCAATCAGTCCACGGGGTGGTAGCGAAAAACTTCTGCAGTAAAATGTCACAATCAGGGTGAGACATGTCAGACGTTTCCCCACACAACCACGTCCTCTATTATTCTACCCTTGGGTTACTACTCAGAAAATACCAGTTTGGAGTATTTGTGTGTGTGTGTGTGTGCTTCTCTAGAACTGCTGCAATCTGATGGATGCCAGGAACACTGACATTTAAAATAAACACTGTGCAATCCAGTAAACAGTTTTGAGGCATGTCCAGGCATGTTGAGTGTGAATATACCTTTAAGAGACACAAACAAAAGGAGAAGATACGATGTCAGCTGGCAGCCATCCGGCCAGCAATTAAATCCAAAATGATTGCAGGGATTTCCACAGAGTACACTGGGGCATTTGAGGATTTAACCCTCATCACAGCACCGCGGTGTCCACTGAACTCATCCATCATGGCACTGAAGAGATGAGGACTGTGCAGTACTGGACTAGAGCTTGTTAGAATCTCTTATCAACCTTTCCAGCAACTGTAGCCACAATAAACTATCAGGGGATGATATAAATGCTTAATCATAGCACACATACTATCAGTCACAAGATCAGCCAATGACTATATACACATCTATGTAAAGTTTGCTGGCATTAGCCAACATTAGTCACCCCAACGTACTTGTCCAGACTAGTTCAACCTGTATTGTAGAAAGTGCAGATAAACAGACTACTGGCTCATTACTCAGCATTTTTCTGACTATAGGTATCTTTATTCTTTTAAACACGATTCCTTTTAAAACAAATTTGTTAAAAAATGCACTCTTGACCTGTCAGTAATAGCGTATTAATCCAGAGTGATACCTTTTCTTATAGTTAAACATGTGTAAAACCTAAATTAACACATTTCAACAAACTTTTTTGTTTTGAATCTGAGTTATTCTAAATTTTGAAACTAAGACTTTAATTTTTCCTCTAAATGTCGCTTCTTGCTCGCTATCCTTGATGACTAATAATCAGTAGTGGCCCTGAAAAACCCATATCAGTGGCACCCTAGTATTAAGCTAGACAGAAAACAAGTGTTTATCAGTTCTTGAGAAAGAATGAAGCGATGAAACATTCCCCTCCAGGGTAAAAGGAAGCGTTTTCCAATGTCTTCATTTGGCTGCGACCTTGGAAAAAAACTCCCACCGTAAACACACAAAGGTCACACCTGAACCACGGGTTTAATTACCTGCAATGTTCGCCAAAAAAAGGGGTAAGATCACAACAGGCGTTATGCATGCAGGGAGCAACAAAACGGCTCCTCGTGCACAGTTTGTACAGAAGAGATAAATGTCAATGAACTACTCGGTTTCTCTGACCCCTGTCCGTGTCCTTTCCTCTGGGCTTTCGAGGACTCAAAATAGAGTCAAGACACTTAACATGACACTAGGCCAAACCACGTGTGTACAAATTTGCTGGCACACATGCCGATGTATACACATAAACACACATCACAAGGCACACCAGCCATATCTCTCCATTATCACCCCAAAATGTCGTCCAGTTATCGCCCAACACGACTGCGTCATGAATCTCCCGCTATCAGCTAATAAAACATATCCGATTAGAAAACATGGAGCATTGATTTTATGATAATGGATGTCCGCACATTTCAGTCACAACTTCAATCCCAAATCGATATTTTGTACATTAACGAGGAGTTAGCACTTCCTTTCGGCTCTATTGAGATGGTTCCTCGATCTTGATAATTAGTCAGCAAGTATTTTGACAGATCAGTAATCATTTTAGTCATACTTTTTTTTTTAAATAAGCCATGTCTTTGCAAGTTCTTGCTTCTTACAAAGGCAGGATTTCATAATTATTCTTCGCTACACATGATGGTAATCTCATTATCTATGGGTTCTGGATCAATGGACAGGCGAAACCAGACAACTGACGTTTGTTTGTGTCTCATCTGAACTGACATGATATTATCTGTGAAAACGATTGAAATATTAAACCAACTTCCTCCTTCCTGCGCTACAAAACCCAAATTGAAAATTAATATCTCAAATTGCTTGGAAACACTGACAAAGACAAACACGCAAAGCGATTTCCCGCATGAGTATAGAGCGTTCAAGTAGAACAAGAAGTAGAGGGTATTTCTTTGTTGCCCCTTTTTAAGACTGACCACGAGATGCTGGTGGACACAAAGAAATCCTAATCTGGCTACCAGAAACAACATGTTCAGGTACTGCCTCTCTTTACAAACATCACCACATCTAAAGCAAGCAGGAGCTTTACAGGATTGTTCAGTATAATGCTGAATGGGACCATCCCGTTACATAAATATCACCGGTTCAACCCTCTTTGTAGTCGTGTCCCGCTATGTGAACATGTTTTCTTCCCACAAAACCCTGAACCCTTACCTACTTGCTCGCTGTAATTCTCTCTGGATTTAAGGATCAGAAAAATGTCATGTCATGTAAATGCGGTCATGTGGCAAACAAACTCGGGCCGTGGTATTCCTTGAAAAAAATTTGAGTAAACAATGACTTACTGTACACCTCCACCCCGTAGCATGTTCAAATCTGACAGATATTCACAGCGACAATAGGCCGTGTGTTCATGTGTGTGTGTGTTTCCAGACAATGGACAAGCTTTGGGGCCGAGCTTCTCTTTTCAATTCAAAACAAGACAAAAGACAAAGGCATTCAGGTGCAGTTTGTTTTATGTCCTGCGAACAAAGTGCAATGCCTCCGCATAGGCCGTCAAGCGATTTTCCCGGCAATACCCCTTCTCTCTTTACAGAGGTCATGCACAGACAAGATAAACACACATGAGCCGCTTTCAATGAAACAACAGCGCACACCCAAGCACGCGATAGGGACAGATGTGGTGGCATTTGTGAATTTAGTCCGCTATGTAAGAGGTCAGACAACTGATCCTAAACAACTGAGTCATTGGCTTACTGTTTAGTTTAGCACGACTAAAAAGGGACAATAATGCTAATTTTAGCCTGGTTGTGGTAAAAGTCAAGGCAACTTGCCTGGCGAAGACAAAACACGACATTTGATCTGAGTCGTTTTACCGTCCTTCAGCAAACACTTTCTGCATCACTTGAGCTTTTAACTACGTTGACTGGAAACACATTTTCTCAGCACGGCTCTGGACTGCGTTGGACATGCTCACGCCTTGTTACTACAAGAAACGACTGCAAACTTTTTCCGTTTGCCAAGAGAAGCCCTTCAGAAGCATTTTGGGAAAAAAAAAAGTCTGAACACAATTAAAGTAATTACTGGGGGATAAAAGAGAAACTCCTACTGTCTTTAAAGGGAAATTCTTACCTGCTAGCAACTAAATTCTGAGTGTTCTGGGGTTTAAAAAGACTCAACAATGACTCAACAGTTTCCAAATCAGTCAGACATAGTCCTCAAGTGGAACAAAAAAAGAAAAAAGAAGCTAGTTTTAGTCATGCATGCATAATTTTAAAATTATGCAATCAAATATGAAATAAAAATGATTCACTTTGTGTTGCACTAAGCTAATAAGAAAATTATGATTATTTCAATTAAGCTTACACACTTCAAGTAAATTAAAAAAATAGTATGCAACATCTTTGTATCAGGATTGATTTTCACTGTTTTGTTTCTTTTTGTCAGAGGGAGTCAACTGAGATGCATCACATTTGGTTTAACTAGATTTATTTGGATAAAGTAAGTTACTAATATTTACATTCAGCATATATATATATATATATACACCCTCGTGAGGATTAAGCGGTGTATAGATAATGGGATGGATATATATATATGTATTTTTTTAACTTTACTGCGTGTCTCCCAAGACTGTAGCAGAACAGGAAAGTGAAACTAAACTTAGGACTTGTGGTTGGGCAACACTGTAAAGAGTCACCTGGGTGACACAATGGCACCTCTCATCCAGGTGAGTTTTCGTTTCTCTCTAAACCTACAACAATTCCTTTTCATTGATCTACCCACTCAAGACTAATCAGCAGCGCTATCAGCATTAATGATGTGCTCATAGTATCGGCTGGTCATAATGGAAACAATATAAAAATGAAACCAGTTTTGTCTTTTCAAGAGGAACAGAAACCAAAACTGTTACTGTACCTTGGAAACATATTAAAAAAATACATCCTTGAGTTCTAATCACAAATACACAAGTGCCAGAATATCTTTAAGGACAAGAATGTTTGAGCAATCTTCTTGGCTAGATTTATGGCCCACATGAGCTGCTCCATTACATGATAATGCAGCTGTCATATATATGCAGATAAACTTCATGGGAAAGACCTTAGTTTGAAAAACCTCACACACTCTCTGCGCCTGGCTGGGAATCAAAAAGAATGCATTAGCAGACACAGGTTCATTAAAACAAACTTGTAGAACACTCTGTTAAGAGATACAGTATATAAACTCAGCATTAATCTACACCTCCTGCAATCCAGATTGACCTTTAAACACAATAAAATCCAACATTAATATTTATCTATAACAGGCATTTGATGGCAAGTAACACATACTTTTGTTTCCCACTATATCAAAGCACATCTTATTACCTCATAGTTACCTTAAAAAAAATCAATAAAGTGAAGTGAAGAGCAGTTTATTACAACACAAATAAAGAAAAGGTTGCATAAGTTCCTATGGCAATATGCTGCATTTTATGGCTGAAAGAACAATATTTGTTTCCTCTATTTATAGTTTTATGTTATTATCGTGCATAAGTGCCTCTAAAATACACCATTTACTGTTATTATTAAGCTTAAGACTGCTTCATTTGTGCTGATGTTGTATTTATTTGTGAGCAGTTTTGTTCCGTTTCAAAGTCCACAGTTCAGTTATTTGATCTCAGGCTGAAACTTTCACTTTTAATCTTTGTTATGTATTTTGTCTTTCAAAAATCAGCCACTGCTGGTCTCCCCAACTCCCTCCTTTTTCTTTTCTGTATTATTCCCCCCCTTTCTGTCCCACCATCAGCATCACCGAACGCTGTCACATGACTGCTGTACATGGCAACTGGTCTGGCAGCCGTCCCGGTAACCACTTGCTACATGCGATAAAACATTACTGCAAGTGCATTTCTTCTCTGTTTACATTGTTAGTTAGCTTGCCGTTTCATCTCCCATTACACCAGCGTTTCAAAGCCTGTAGTCAATTGTGAAATATCGTACAAAAGGCCCCCAGCGGGTAAATTAAATGCGAGACCTTTGACTCGGATAGCTAGCAGCAGAGGGTTCCGATCTCATTTTAACTTTCAGTTTTGATTTCTCGAAAGTCATGCTGACTGGTAGCAGTTAGCTCCATGCTAGCTAAACGCTACACCTGGCTGCTGTGGCTCAGTCTTTGCCCATGTGTAGTTCACGGGGATATCCACAGCAGCAGCACTTGCTAGCTCGTGGCTAACACTAGCTTCTCTTTTTATATCTATCCCCTCTATCTCCCTCCTGCGCTCCCTGTGAGCTAGCTAGCTAACTCGGCTAGCTGGGACTAGCAAAGCCGGCGGGGGGACTGGCGCCGTAATATCAGCGGCGCTGGCTGCGAGTTCACTCAAAGAGGGATGCTTCCTTTCGGAATTTGGTACCCCGTCGCTGCTCCACCGGTCCTCTCCTCCTCCTCCAGCCTCCTTTCGGCCTGCGGTGAAGCAGCGGAGACCGGCCACACAGAGCACCAGTGATGGCCTTGGGACTGATGATGAAACCACCTTGACTTTATCAATTTTCATTCCTCCCCGCTCCCCTCCTCCCAGCCCGCCCTCCGCCTCTAACCGCCGCGGGAACCCTTACCTTGTACGAGTCGGTCGCTAGCAGTATGTTGAAGTCGGCGCCTCTGTGCTCCATCTTTCCCCCCTCGGTTTGAGTCAGTCGCAGCTGTCAGTCTGTTGTGTTGCGCGCCGTGCTGCCGGAGACTCCAGCCTGGTAGTGGAGCTGTACAGGGGGGAAGGACGAGCGGAGAAAACCGGGCGGGAGAAGGGGCGGGCGGACCGGCGTCACCAAATTTCCGGCGTCCTTCGGCTACATTCGGAGGTACTCGGCTAAATTGTACCGTCAGCCAATCAGCGAAGGCGGCAAAGATCGTGTTTATTTACAAAGATGAATCACTCAACAGTGAAGCCAAGACACCAAAAACACAATATGTTTATTTTTTGGTATTTCTACACATAATTCTAACTAACACTTTAAAATATATCTTTTTAAACAATTACTTTACTACTTAAGTATCATTGCCAGAATTATGTCTTATTATTCTATTCTTATATAGTCTAATTTTAGCTGACTTATTTTTGTTTTTATTTATTTTTAGTCATGTATACTGTTTCTCTATTAGGCACTGCTTTTATTCTTTTGTCATTGCGTTTTTTCTGAACAACATCAAGCTCAAGAATTTACTTCAGGATAAATAAAGTTCTGTCTTATTTCATCTTATCTGAAACTGAAAAAAAAAAAGGCGGAATTAAATATCTAGGTATAGGCTGGGTTTGAAAAGTAAAAGGCCTTTATTTCAGAGGGCTAGAAACATTCTCCAAGCCTTAAAGTGCAAGCTGACAGAAGTTAGTCCACTCAAGTAAAGGCCTTTTACTTTCAAACTCACAGTAAGTGCCTGGACCTGAATTTTTTATGACTTTTTTTGGTTGTAATTTTTCCACCCTCCTTCCAAAAATATTCCATGAGCACCGGCGGTTTGACGGACGCAAGCAGCGCTCCGGTCACTTGTCTCCTTAATAGGAAATAAGGTTGTCTTTAAGGTGAAAAATTCACAACTGTGCTTCTTATAACTTTATTTCTATTGCACCCTTCAAAAAATAGAGTCAGAAAGTGCTTTATGATGCATTTAAATACACCGAAACATTAATAGAAGACCATAAAACATTAGTAAAGAGTGCAAAACATTAAACATGGCAATAATAAAGTAAAAAATGACAACATATGCCTCTAAGCACATGTGGGTTTTGTTTTGAGCCTGGACTGTGGAACATTTAACAGCTTTTCTGGTCTTAGGGGTCAAAGTGCTAAGAACCCAAACCAAGCAGAAATTTAAAAGGAGAGAATCTTAAATTAAATTCTGCAACAAATGGGGAGCTATTATGAGTCTGACTAAACCTACTGCAGCAGGTGTAAATGTTTTATTTTAAATGTGTATAAAAGTCTAACTTATAACGTTTAATGCTACCATATACTATAAAAATGACAGGCACACTTCATTTCAACCCAGTAAAATCCTGAATAAGATTACATTCACACTGCTGCGAAGAATCTGCCTAAACTTTTGCCTATTTATACCGTGTGCTCACTGTTGCGTGCTGCCAGACGGGATTTCATTGTAAAACCCAAAGCAAAAGCAAAGGCAGACAGTTTACGAGCAGAGTTCCCACCTTTTGGAGCTTATTTAATGGTTAATGATTTTACAGCACTATTAAATATAACATTCGCTGCCGAGGATGTAACAGTGTTCAGTCTGTTGGCGTAAGAGCGGGAGGTCTCTGCTTCATTTAGTTGTTCATGACCAGACATCGCCCCTTAAATGCAGTTTTTAAGCTCAGCAGATGGAGGCAGTGTTGCTCATCTAATACCGTTAAACCAACAGTACGTGCGTTTACACACGCATGCACATATTTACACTGTTTTTAAGCTGTTACTGCAAATACATTTAAGTAATGAAGCAACCAACATAGGTGTTTTAGTTCGTTTTAGGCAATGCACCAATCAGAATGGAAACGTAAAGTCATCTAAATAGGCGCGAAACTAAACAGTCAGGAAAGTGACGGATGAACCTGTTAGTACACACCAGTGTTACACTGAGAGGAGGTAAAACAGGTAAAAACATCTTCCTGTGTGGGTATAACAAGAGTATGAGGAAGATTTAAGGGGTCGAAAACCTTTTTTTTCCCCAGACAAATTACATCAAATTAACCCCTGAAACTGAATTTAAAAGGGCTTATTGTAGAAGTGTGGAATGATTGGCACTCAAAAATTGAAATAATAAACAAGTTGGGTATTTTCTCTTTTAACTTTATTTATTCTGAAGAGACACTGGACAACAGTGCACACTACTTCTACAATATTTCTTTTTACTCATTCAAATCTTATCATTGCTAAACTACATGTGCTGTATAAATGTGTGTATACTGATTTTTTTTTTGGTGTGTTTTAAATGCAGAAACCTGCCTGGATGAGTGTATTACTCAGTACAGTAGTAGCATGAAGTATTATTGAGGAAATGAGTACAGCAGAAGAAGTAGTTTCTTGGACAAAATACCCACAGTCCATCATGAGATCTGCCTGGAAGGAAGCTGATAGGGTAAGAACACACTTGACATTGCATTGAATAGCCCTAAAACCACTGTGTGGCTTCAGTAGACTGCTGAGTTGGTTATCTTGATCAGAAGACGACTTGTTGACGTAATCGTCTGTGGCGTGTACAGATAAGTGCATTTGGGTAATTATTCAAAAATTCGTTCACAATTTCTCAGCATCATGAAGACAAAGCTGTCCAGAGTGTGTATTACATCACATTAAAAAGGTAGAAACACAAACACAGACTACTCTCAGTGGAGTTTTATCAGTGCATGTGTCAACCAGTCTCTTTCCTTCATGACAAAGAAAACCAAAAATAAAGAAAAAGGAGGGAAAAACAGTGAGCATGTGGCATCTCATAATCGATTTGGCTTCGTTTTGCAGATTTCTGGATTTCACAGACTGGTATTTGTCCCACTGTTTGGATGTTTTTCTCTCCAACCTTAACTTTCTAAAATCTCCTAAAATTTAAGTCCAAAGTGAAGTTATTTAACTTGCAATCATTAAATATCATCAAATCCTTAAATTAGAGAAGCTGAAACCTGAGAATATTTTCAAAGATAATAAAATTATAATGAATCAGTTGTTGGATTTTTAAGATCCCCTCCAACTGTGTTTAAAGATTAACATTGTTAAGAAAAATAAAATATTTAAATATTCTTTAATTCAAAAGTTTAACTAGTGGATACGAGCTGATTCATGAATCACGGAAACTTTCTTTTCTGTTTTCAACTAATCAGTTTGTAGGACGATTGTTTGATCATTTTGTGAGGGATTTGCAGTCACATGAATTCATTTATCATCAGGTTGTTTGGGTGGAAATACACTTTAAAATAACTTACAAAACCCGTCATTTAGACAGTGTAAACACAGCAACATCACATTAAGAAAATATTACAAGTAAAAATCCTCGATTAAAACTATACTAAACTAAAAAGTACCACCAGCCACATTTTTTTTTCCAAAGTATCAGAAGTGAAAGTACTTATTCTGCACAAAATGTTCCTCGTCGGTGGTTTTTGGATTCATATTACTGCTGAATTAACATTTATGTTGCATTTTGCTGCGGTAGATGTACATTTCCAGTTAAATACGACTTGTATGTGATCTGCTGTGTGAACTTCATACGACCCAAAAGTGTCCCGCATGCGCAGAAGAGGACACAATGACATCACTCGCAGCGACTGTGCTCAGTGTTTGTGGAAGTAAACACGGACGGCAACAGTGGAGCGTATCTTGCCCGCCACCGCCGTCACCGTCGCCACTGATGGTGGAAACAGACCTGTGACCGCTATCCTAAACTAGCATCAGCAGCCAAGGACTGCCTGTGTGTTCCGGCCACTTTCACCCCGTCAGAGCGCTCCCCCGTGGTGGAAATGCCCCCCGACCGCGCCAATTATTCAGATATTCATCATTAATTGGGCCTGAATATCCAGAGACCAGAAAGTGCAATTCGGACCAGCCCTACTACTTATTATAACAACTATGAACATAATTAACAACAAATGAACCTTCAAGCATCAAGCCCTCCTTGTATTTCGACCTCCGTCTGACAATCCGACAGCCTCGCTATCCGACATAAAAGAAGGTTTTACATTTAGTGTCGGATTATTGAGTCACGACTGTACTTTAAACAGTGCTGGGTAGTTGAGGTTACAGTAATGCATTGTATTCTATATTTTACCCAATTGTGCACACAAAGTGTTTGAATTCTACATTAGGGTACAAATTCATGACCAGAATTAATCTTCAGTGATCAGACAGTGTGACCAGACCCTCCTTTGACCAGTGACTTGAAAAGACCAAATGAAAACGCAGCTTTATTCAAACGACACGATCCAAAGACGAAAAGAAAAAGCTGAGAACAGGTTGTTAACATGCCG